GATCCAGTGGAGTGGACACAGCAGCAGGTTGATCAGGGCTGATGAGGGTGGGGGCAGCATCCCAACTGGGGGCATGGGGCAGGAGACGAGTGGGGCCAATGTGGGCCAGCAAGGGAGGTAGGGAATGAGGGGTGTTCACACTAATGCATAGCCTAGAATGGCTACAAATTAGTGTAACGTGAACTGAGTAACAGATCAGAGATAAATTTAGGCTGGAGTGGCGTAACTTTAAGTTGCCTAAAGAGGGCTTAAAACTAGTTTCATGTTTTTCTGTGTGAACAATCCAGGGGTTGAGAGCTCCAGGAGCCACCTAAAATAAACATGTAAAAAGGGCTTCCGACTACTCTGCTCCAAAAATACACGTAAACTTTTATTATGTGTTAGAATATTACGACTAGGATTAACTGAGAAAATTCAGATTTTGTCTTACAGAGGAAGTGATCTACATGAATAACAATATATTTTATTACAAACCCCCACACTTCTTTCCCTTAAATGGCACTCACTGATTAAGTGATTATCATGGAATACAAGAAAAAACAAATTTACTTTTAAGGCATTATGCAGCTTTTCAACATTCATACAAGGAGCATATTTTATTTGGTGTTTGTAAAGTACTATGTAAGTTTATGGTGTAATATATTTTTTTAATAAGAATGTTAATGAAGTGTTAAACTCCATTTAATAATATCATCCATGAGTATTAATTTGCACATATATTGGTTCTCAATAAAAAAAAAAACATTCTGTATTTCGTCTAATGGAATAGAATTCACATTTTCAACCCTTACGGCAATTTATCATATTATCAACATATCATCATGAGCCATATTAAAATCAATCTCTCTTGAATTGGTATGCATGGTGTTTGGTTCATAGATCATGAAATGATATAACTGTCACACTTGCAAGAGGTAAAAATTCCTAACCTATTTTTTAACATTTGTCAAACTGTTTAGAGCCACTTGTCTTTTTCTAACAAGCAGTTTCAAGTGAAAAAATATATATACTAAGCTATAAGAAGAGGATCAATAACATGTCATTAACAATGTGCATAATGACTTTATATGAAAACAGGTAAGTGCAAGGTACAATAATCTTTAGTGGAACTTAAACTACCAGGAAGTGCCATGCAATTTTACATATAAAGGATAGGCTATTTCAACAGAAAAAGAAGACAGAGACAGAATCTAGTACATATCCGCTATTAACAGTCTCTAGACAGTCATGATCAAAAGATTCTCTCT